ATTTTTGGAATACTGCCAGAGTTGGGGCCCTTGATTAAATATCCTCAAAAAACGTGTCCTCATGCAAGAGGGCTGTCATTCATTCATCCTTTCATTCAGTCGTTGAATTATTCATTCAATTGTTTACTTATTCTCTCATTGATTTCTTTTCATAACATCCTTTCTTTTACATTTTATTCCGTGTTTACATTCATTCCTACATTTATTATTTACATTAATTCTCTCTTTGTTTACACTCATTCACTCATTTCATCTATTTATTCATACAATTTGAAGTTTTCTCCTTTATAATATATATATGATATAAAAATATATATAATATAATAATAGTAATACTGTGACTATATATACTAAGGTATATGACAAATATTACTATATGTCTTCTATGATACGTGTCGACTGCTGACGGACTTATTTGAAACAGTGTTTTTAAATAGTTATATAATATAATATATAGAGATACTATATAATACTTAGTAAATGTACTGAGGCATGACAAATATGAGGCAGGAAGGAGGGGAACCCCCTGATTGGCCAGCTAGGCACCGGATATATCACTAATGAGCATGCGAGGAGAGCAAACATTTCAAACTAATAAGGGGAGAGAACTTTTATTAAAAAAAACAACATCTAAGTAATATTTAAAATAATAATGAATTAAGGTCGTTATTATTAAAAATTGTTCGAATTAACCCCATTTATTTTGGAGGATAATAGAAATTTACTTTTCATCGCAATAAACTTCTCTACTTTCATTGTATGTGCAAAAATAATCTTACACATTTCAAAAATTGGAATGTAGTCTTTAATTCGGCTACAGTATATATGATGTTTTATTATTACCAGAAAATGGTGTAATAATAGTCCAATCTTTGAATTTCCAAAAAGAATATCTATATCTTTAAAAACAATATAGGGCTGTTTATCATCATGCTCAGTATACCAAACATTAAAATCATCCAATAATCTCTGTGCATAATAGCATTGAGTAAAATTGGGTTCCAATGTTTTTGTTTCTCTGTTACAGAATGTACATAATTGATTTGTTATTAATTTCATTTTTACTAACTCTTTATTAGTTGGTAAAATCCTATGATTGATTTTGTATTGGAAAGTTTGTAATTTTGTTTCCATTGTACAGTTAAATATAAATATCTCGCCAGTTGAAATCCTCATCCATCTCAAAAACTGATTTCCATTTTTCTTGGCTATGTTTGGGCATTATTATGACATTTGTAACAAGATTTCTGTAGATAATAATGTATCATCAGCGTACAAATGTATATATGCAAACTACATTAATTGACACTAAGTGGTATGTCATTGACATACATGATGCACATCAGAAGACCAGGTTTCCTGGGGTATACTTACTGTAAGCTGTGTCTCGCTTAAACCTGGTTTTAATTTTACAACCAAAAATCTGAAAAGGCACAAACAAAACTGAAGAGAAACTGGAAGCACATTAATTAGTTTACTTGTCAAAACGAAACAAGTCCAGATTTATTTTGAAAGCAGTACACTGTAACTTTAAGCCCTGAATTGCCTTCATTTGTCAGTTATTGATAAAAGCCTGTCCAGTTTGCATCAACATTGCCTATGAATATCATCTGAAAGTAATATGATTATAGGTTTCACTGTACCCGGACCAGATCAATGCTTAAATGTATAATAGTGATCTTATCCAAACAAGGTAAACACTTAAAATAGAAAGTGTATTTAAAAATAAAGATATATCTTTTCACTCCGGATACGACCAGTCACTGCGATGCCTATTCTTTTCCTTTTACCAGGGCGACACAATTCTGCTCAAGAGTCAAATAAACAATTACAGGCAAAGTCTCTGAACAATATATTTACGTTGGCCAGTGCTATACATAAAACTGACGTTTATTCAATGCGTAGAACTACAAACTGCAAAAAAATAATATCTGCTGAAGCAATGACATCAAATGTTACTATTTATTATCAGAATTAACGAGAGAAATGGGAAGTTCCATCTGTTTGAAGCTTCTTTAAAAGTTTAGTTAAAACGAATATATTTCTCATGAGCAAGACAGGGACATTATTTGAATATTTTCCAACGAATAAATTAAACGTCAAAATAACAACGGACATTTATATTTTTATTGTAAAGATATATATTCAGTGGAGGGTAAATGTATTTTTTCGTTAGTATCGATTTGAGTAATTTGTTATGATTGATTAAATAATTTACCATAGAACAACCGATTTTAGCCTTCAAATCGAAACAGTACCCCAGGAAATGCAAATTTGTGGCAAAGTTTTCAGTTCACATATTTTATTTATCATTTTATTTGTAAATGTGTTTATCAAACCATTACTGCAATGAGAGGGGCAGATCAGCCCTTAGTGTTACCAATAAGACTCAATATTTTCATTCATTGAGACAAAATAGCTCGGAAGTCGTAGTCGTTCGTAACTATGCAACGTCAGAACATGTTGGCTGGCTTATTGAAATCTAGCGTAATCTGTGTATGTATATAACAGTTATTATAAATCAGTTTTGTGGACATGTTTCGCTTGACACGTTTTGTTTGTAATGTAGCGGAACTGGACTGGACCGATCGTTGGAAGCAGAAGACTCTTACCCTTCTGGAACACATGCTCTTATTATCATTGTACAATGAACTTCCCCAGGGGTCTACAAACAACACTTTCTTTGATTACATTCTGCCCTGGTTCGATAGATTTCGAGTTCGAACAACGGTCTTGTGCACACTGCGATAGTACGTATTCTTTCTTAAACAAGGACAATGGACAGGAGATGTACAATGGTAACTAGAGTACTTTTTCTCCAAAATATTATACAACATACAAACAAAATCCTCTCTGATTTTCGCTGGCGCCGATTGTGCCTCCGCCTTCCCTCCTTAAAAAATATCAAACTATTAATATTAAAATTGGACTGTATCAAGTGTGACCCCATCACGATGTCTCCCGTCAAAATATGCAATGGGATTTTTTGAAACGTTTACAAAATGTTATACATGAAACTACACATGCAACATGCAGTAATATCTCACCCGTCGAGTCATCAGTGATTTTTTTCACTAGTTCTTCACTGTTTTATTGCTCCGATCGGGATCCCTTCTTAATCGTATTCTTTTGATTTAGGTTGGTCATGATCAACTTTCTTCACGCCTAGTGTATGCATTTTGTTGTTATTTAAATCGACTTTTTAGTCCAGTTTGGTCGTTTGTGTATTGACGATTGTTGATGTTTCACTCCTCTTGTTTATTTCTGAACGGTATAATTTGAAAACAAAATATTTCACCTGCAACTTCAAATTGGGTTCACCATTGTGGTCTTACTACTGAGACTTGTAAAAACACAATTGGAAACGATAAATGCCATTGTCATTGTACGTTAAGTATGTAGCCACATGTATTGATGTGTTTTCTTTCTTCAGAACGACATTTACTGCAATCCGGATAAAAGATTGCATACCGTTCCATCTTTTAGTTTAAAATTTTGTTTTCCGGTTTCGTTTCGTTGTTTACCGTCCTGCTTTCAGTTCCACACTTTGACCAGGGACTTCTACTCCACAGGTTTACAAGATTTAAACTGCAAACGCTTGCGTGCATGAAGCAATTGTTTTAGTGATATTCTATGACAAGGGTTTAGTTTGTTTTTATAAGGGAGTAAAGACAGGTCCTGCACAACGCAACTATTAATATTGTCATTATTGATCTTGTTACTACTTGTTTGACCTTCAACTGCCAGGTACGTTATTGGATAGGGGCGCATATAAGATCACTATTGATAGTAGTTGCGTGACCCTGTGGGTCCTGTTAATGAGTTATATCCACTGGCAGGTGCTTGGTACATAAACATAAATATAAATCCTTGGACACACATATTATATATAAGGAAGTTGTAGTATTAAACATTTAAAAAATGATTACGCTTCTCAATTACATCCTGCTACAAGGAACTTACTTCCTTTTAGCACCATTGTAAGAACGGCCGACTGGATAGCTGGGAGGGTGCGGTAGGGGCTGATTTGATTGCTGTTGGAAACACTTCTTATTTCCTGTTTAATTATTATTAAATATTTAATTGATTTACATAATCTCAAATGAGAACAAAATACTGATGCAATTTAGCTCACCTGCCCGAAGGGCAAGTGAGCTTATGCCATGGCGCATCCACCGTCATCCGTCCATCCATCAACTTCTCCTTTAAAACGATACTAGTCCTGAATGGCGAAGTGGTTTTTAATTCAATTTGGTTTGGATCATCTTTGGGCCAAGGGCAGTCAAGTTTTTATAAACGTGGGTGTTGTCCCCCTGGGGGCAGAGGGTTGGGGCTAATAGGGGAAATAGAGGTTAACATTTAAAATCCTTTTTCTACCATAAGGATTAAGGGATTTCATCCCAATTTGGTCTGGACCATCCTTATTTTAAAGGGCACTCTCATTTCTATAAACGGTGGGAATGGCCCCTAGGGGCAGAGGAGAGAGGCCCAATAGGGATAATAGAGGTAAAACTTTTAAATCGTTTTTCTACTGTAAAGGATAAAGGGATTTTATCCTAATTTTGTCTATCAAGTTATCTAGAAGTGCCTGTTACTATTAGGATGTGTTCATTCAAACAACATGGTCACCCGGACGCCATCTTGGATTTTGACATTTGAAGTACTGGATGGATCTTCTTGAAATTTCATTTAAGGAATGACATTTATTTTTTCAACATTCATGAGGTCATAACAACATTAGCTTTCTGGATATATTCCATGAATCGTGTTAGTGAATTTATTAACATTTTTTAAGTGCTTTGAATTCTCCAATCGTCTACCGGTCGCCAACTACCCCCTGTACTTCGTCATTGTAGTATATCAATACGCAGTGATGAGGTTATAGGTGTTATGCAAAAAATGAAATTCATTTTGGTCAATGGGTCAAAGCATACAGAATGTAAGTATATGTACATACAGTAACTACCATTGAGTGCTATATCTCATATCAAGTACTTTAAACATATACAGGTGAGCGATACAGGGCATCTTGTTGTATAGATAATTCCATTTGGAGCCTAGTAACCTGATGAGTCCAGGAGTACAAGACAAAGCACTGGCAACTCTGACTAACAGTTTGGCTTTTGTACGGGTCACACAGGAAATATTTTATTAATTCTACCACATCACAGTCTCATTTCAATTTTTTCCTTAGAGAATCTTTCTAACAAGACAAACATAAAATCAAAAGCAAACTTCATACATTCTTTATAAGGAAAAGGGAGGAAAGATTGAGTAATATCGTTTAGAATGTAGTTAATTTTTGACAACTGTTATAAAGAAGGTGGTTAGTGTTTCAGTATACCACACAGTTAACGTTTAGTGTTGTTGGCATTTTAAAGCCTGACAAATCTGCCCTTCTTGATTACTAATTCATAATTGATCCAACCTTTTTGTTTTGTTTGAAATAGGTAACCTATTTCTAAAGGAAGAGTCTTCTACAGCAGTGAGCCAGGTACAACAGGTTTGAAAAACATGGCATCCAACTGGCAGGGAGATTACTCGGCTCTTCAATGTAAGTGTCTGTAAATTAGACCAGATTGACCAAAAACTTATACTTGATGGTAATTAATGATGGATCAGCCGATATAAATAAATCATTCTAAATCATAAAATGATTTACCAATATAAGAGATTTATCACATTTATTATAGGGTGACAGTGCCCTGAGTCAACCTGAGAATATCCCTCACAGCAAATGGAAGCATGAAAAAACTTTTAAAATGCATTTGTGACATCATTATGTACTTTAGGCAATTTGCCAATTAGTCCATCAAGATGTCCCCACCTGTTCCTTATGTTTAATTACCTGGTTAGAAACTAAGTATCACAAAGTAAGGTAAAATGAGAAGTTATCTCTTAAAATATAATGAATATAATCCTGATTGACAGTAGGGAACATTTTATTATTTTATCTTTTTCGCCAGTTCCTCAAATTCTGGTCAACTTCAGTAAAAGTATATCATAGACTATTAGTCATGTTACGACACCCTTGATACGAAAATATTCCAACTTCTTTTCATCTTTATTCGGCATTATATATTTATGTAACATTCATAAATCAGCCTAATTTCTGTAATAAAGACTCGCCATCTTAACGTTAAGATTCATTTAAATGACTGGTGTGTTATATTGACACTTCTTTATAGAAAATGTATATTAATTTCACTGAATATTACCTGTTGTTGGTTTTTAATGACAGTTGCTATTGTGGAAGACAAAACGGATTATGGAAAGTTCAAGATAGAGAGGAAAGACCTTGGTGATTTTACAAAACTGGCTTTTAGCGTCACTTTTGATGAGGCACAAAGGTGAGTCTGTCCTCTGTCCTGTCTTTGACCTTTTGTCTAGCATGTTTAATTTCCTGACTTTTTATCTAACATACTTTACCTTCATTTACCTGAATGATAAAACTTCGCCTCATCAGATGGCTATGATGGTGGAATGTTGATGTAGCATTTCATCTATGCTCTCTCATCCATCCTTAAACATTTATTATTGTCACGTTTTCTCAGGGAAATACTGGACATTTTTTTCTTATTTTTCTTCTTCTATGTAATGCAGGTTTCCCTGTGTCTATGTTTTTATTTTGAGACTGATCTGAAGAACAATATAGTTGCCAAGCAGCCATGATAGATTTAGATTTTGACTGATGAAGATTGTTATCGCTATTTCTCTGGAAGTACTTATCAGGCCTGTGTCAAATTTTATTTCGTATGGATACACAGTGATAATTGCTTCAACAATTTATGAAATGTAGGTCACTGTGACCAATATTTACACTTCAGTAACTTTGGATTTAGCATCATTTCTTGGTGTGACTTAGAATTTACTCTATTTCCATCAAATGAGGTGATGCATGTTTTAAAAACGTTTTCCATTTAGAATAATCTTTGATTTAAATTAAATTAAAATTGACCCGGAGGTTTACTTACAGAAATGATAACAATGATCACAGATTTCTGTTAAAACAGCACAGATTAAAGAGTATCACAGACAGGGCATACATTTAACAAGATAAAGGACTGTGTTGTATACACAATGATAAAAAATGTTATTTAAAACATTCAGCTTTTAGCTAGAAGAGACTTAAAAGATTGCAGGGTACATTAAAAATTGCAGTCAAGTTCGTGATCGTTTTTGTTAAAAGTTTTCCCAGCAAGATAAAAATTACTTAAGTTTCCTACATTAATTTCACCCTTTGGACAATAAAACTGTAAAAGCATACAGGACTGAACTAGTTTAATATTTTTGCTTTATTTTCTACTTGTATGTTTTGGTATTTATTTTTATCATGAGTTTCGTAGATATTGTTTCTGTCCTCTTTTATCTTATTTTATTTCCTTTTCTCATTATTTTTTACAGCGAGCTGCGAGTTCGGACAAGGAAGGATAATGACTTGTATGGATTTAATTACGTCATTAAAGGATTAATTAAAACTTCAAACCTTGAAGGGGGACTAAAGGTGAGTCATTAATCTTTTTATCTCATTCCTGTTTTGGGGAGTAATATATTCCAATAGTACTCCAATAGATTCTTAATCTCAAACCTTGGGTACTCACGGTGATACTAAACTTTCTTGAGCTCCAAGTTATCTGGGATATTCAATATGGCCAAATTAGTTCTTCTTGTATGGCGGAACTGCAACTGGAAATAAGTTTTTTGTATGGAGTTTCAGGGTGATACAATTTCTCCTCAATAACCAAACGGCTCAGGAAACTGATATTGGGCCTGTAGCATGCTGGATTGAAAGGCTACCAAGTTTGTTTAAATGAATGACCTTGACCTTCTTTCAGGGTCACAGGGGTCAAATATGTTAAAAACCTGTAATACAACGTCTTCTGAATAACCAAAATGCATAGGATGATGATGATATTTGGCCAGTGGCATGCTGGAATAAAGGACTACCGAGTTTGTCCAAAGCGAAAAACCATTTAACAACTTCTTCTGGATAACCAAGAGGTATAAGGTGATGATATTTTGCCAGTAACATGCTCGGTAAAGGACTACCAACTTTGTTCAAATGAATGACCTTGACATATATTCAAGGTCACAGGGGTCAAATATGTTAAAAAACTTTAAAAGACTTTTTCTTAATAAGCAAAAGGCCAATGGTGATGATATTTAGCCATTAACATGCTGGGATGATGCACTACCAAGTGAATGACCTTCGCCCATATTCAAGGTCACAGTGGTCAAGATATGTTAAAACTTTAAATGATTTGTTCTGTATAACCAAAATGTCCAGGGTAATGATATTTTGCCAGAAGCATGCTGGGTTGGAAGACTATAAACTCTGTTCAACCTAATGACCTTGTTCGACATTCAAGGTCACAGGCGTCATATGCTTAAATATTTTAACACTGAAATCTGCCTGTAGCTGTATTTTAGTCCACTTTAAAGATTACAAGTGTGATATTTATACCAGGTGAGCAATGCAGGCCCATTGGGTCTATTGTTCCCTGTTTAATATGATAACTTCATTCAGATGCTATGTTTTCTTTGGTTTACAGAAGGAGAAGAAGCAGGCATTCCTGCGGATAGAAAAGGATTTGAAAGATGGAAACTTTAAACTTTAGTGAAAAATAAAACACATCATCATCAATGCCTTTAGAATGGTTCAGTACAGCATTTATTGTAGTCAGGATTTCAGAGAGGATCAAAGACAGTTTTTACTTTAAGAGACAATCCTGGAATATTCTAACACAGCATTTAGTTTATAGTTCACATTTATAAACTGTACATTATACATAATAACGATGTGATTTCTTGTTGCTAGACATTAACACTGGGTTACCTCCCCTCGTTGGATAACATATATGAACATAATTATAGACATCAACATAGGATTACATTGTCTCGTTTAATAATACCATGCAGGTATAATATTGGATTATCTCCTCTTGTTGGATAATGTTTTAAGTTGATAATGAGACTTTTAGGAAAATCGTACTGTTTATTGAATTCATTTCAGTGTCTTAATTGGGTAACAACAGACTGAATTGTTTGTTATAGCCCAATAGTATGTGTTGCAATGCTAGTCTTTACATCATGATGACCAGAAGAAGAGAGCAGTTACAAATTATACTGCAAAAGTCACAAGGACTAATTTTATCATATACATAAACACCGGGTCATCTCCCCTCATTAGATACTACTATATAGGCATTAACACTGGATTAAATTAATTAAGGATATGTCTTGTATAAAAAAAAAATGATAATGAGACTTAAACAAAAATCAGTTTATTTGAGTCATTTCTTTGGAAAGAAAGAGCATGTACAAATTATGCTGCAAAACACACTATTAGTGCTAAGAGTATTAAGTAAACCTGAATTAAAGTTGTATTTACCTTGAAACAAAATGAACCTTTATTTTTTTATCAATAAACTTTTATCTTCATTCCTGTATACTTGTATGTGATGTCTTGTCTACAATGAGTTATGGCCATGAAACAGTGCTAGAAATATAGATCGATTTTTTTTTTTGAAATAATTACTTCTTTTGGATATATTTGATGTTCAGCATGGTTGTTTTTCTGTGAAATCTAGACCAAAACATTATAGGTAAAATGATGTACATGTACTGAAATGACTTTTAGTTTAGAAAGTTTACAGTGCATTATTAAAAGATCAAATGTTTTGGTTTTAGTGTGTTCTTAGATGATGAAAACATTGCTTTACTCTAACTTAATTTCCAAAATGTTATTTCACCATTCTTCTTCCATATATAGTTTATCTTTTGAATTAGAAAACTTTCTAGCTACGATGGTTGAAAAAAACTCGGCAAATTTATAACATTTGTGGATTTATGTGTTTTCTCGTACACGAAAATTCCTTGTTTTTAATACAGATAAATAGTTTTACGTCCGATAGTAGTTTGTAAGACTGCTGACTAGCTACGATATTGCATTAAAATGAAACAATGAAATTGTTCCAGAAGCAGAACTAAAATAAGTTTGTGGCAGAATTTAATACCTATGCCTGTATTGATATTGTAGTAGAGTTTTAATGTGGTCAGCCAAGCAGAGATGACATATAGAAACACTTGGTTTATATTGACGGAATCCTTCGATTTTCAAACAAAACTACACATCAATAACCGCTCAAATTCAATCTCAATCAAAATTAGAAAATTTCATGCACATCAATAACCGGTAAATTCAATCTCAATCAAAATTAGAAAATCAACATCAGCTTCTACTACTGTTATCGATCCTGGTCGTAGATGATATAATGTCTTTGTTGTGTACTGTTACTGCTGAAATGTTCATGGTTATATTTGTTTAATGTTACTCTATATCAAACATTACATTCATGTAAGTATATTATTTTCTTCTTCTAAACTTTACTGTACTGTTGTATAGACAGAAATCACTTCCATTTACAATTTCTTTTATTGGGATGAATGTCATTCACATATTTTTTTTAATTTACATTAATATTTTGTACTTAATTTAAGTAAGGGATCATTTAATTCCTTGTGTTTTAAAGTTGTCAGGTTTTGTATGGATATAAAAGACCTTATTTGGTATTGCAATGTCTGCTAGCCAACAGAAAATGTTGTTTGAAGTCTTTGTTGAAAATCATGTAGATTTATACTTTATATACTTATATCTGAAATATTGTTTTTTTCATAATTCACTTTAGGTTTGGCAACAACACTCTTTATTCAATGTATTTTGTTTTAGTTTTTATTTGGTGTGATATTTGTAGTGTAGTTTGTGGTTTGTGTATTGCATTTGTTAGAGGATGTTATGCAGATATAGTTAATAAAAATTTGAATAAGACTTCCACATTTTTGTTTACACCTTCCAGGCTGGACATCTTTGAAACATGCTAATATTTTCATTGCGACTATGATATCAATCTTACAACGTACCTGACGTACTCATATTAATAAGCGGGGGATGGTGGGGGGGGGGGGGNCATACAGATCCCAAATCCGTTCCCAAACTTAACCATTTGTTAATATTGCGACAAAAAAAACTAAGGAAGTTTTCATAACTCAAGCAGTGCTTACCAATGAGAATTAAGGTGAAAAATCTTCTTCAGTTCGTAAATCTGTGGCTTCACCTGGTAAGTAATACTGTGACTATACCAAGGTATATGACAAGGTGAGTTGACATGCTCCTGTGTCTATATTGTAGCAAGTTATTGAGACTAAAGAAGATATGTTGATAAGAGGCGTTACTCCTCCTCTTATAATGTCTCCCATGATACGTGTCGACTGCTGACGGACTTACTTAAAACAGGGTTTTCAGGGATGGTTAAGGACAATGTCAATACCTTTTCTTTTATAACCCTACAACATTTTTGGAATACTGCCAGAGTTGGGGCCCTTGATTAAATATCCTTACAAAAAGTGTCCTCATGCAAGAGGGCTGTCATTCATTCATCCTGTCATTCAGTCGTTTAATTATTCATTCAATTGTTTACTTATTCTTTCATTGATTTCTTTTCATAACATCCTTCCTTTTACATTTATTCCTTGTTTACATTCATTCGTACATTTATTATTTCCATTAATTATCTCTTTGTTTACACTCATTCACTCATTTCATCTATGTATTCATACATTTTGAAGTTTTCTCCTTCATAATATATATATGATATAATAATATATATAATATAATAATAGTAATACTGTGACTATATATACTAAGGTATATGACAAATATTACTATATGTCTTCTATGATACGTGTCGACTGCTGACGGACTTATTTAAAACAGGGCTTTTAAATAGTCATATAATATAATATATAGAGATACTATATAATACTTAGTAAATGTACTGAAGCATGACACATATGAGGCAGGAAGGAGGGGAACCCCCTGATTCGCCAACTAGACACCGGATATATCACAAATGAGCATTCGAGGAGAGCAAACATTTCAAACTAATAAGGGGAGAGGACTTTTATTTAAAAAAAACAACATCTAAGTAATATTTAAAATAATAATGAATTAAGGTCGTTATTATTAAACATTGTTCGAATTGACCCCATTTATTTTGGAAGGATAATAGAAATTTACTTTTCATCGCAATAAACTTCTCTACTTTCATTGTATGTGAAAAATAATCTTACACATTTCAAAATTTGGAATGTAGTCTTTAATGCGGCTACAGTATATGTGATGTTTTATTATTACCAGAAAATGGTGTAATAATAGTCCAATCTTTGAATTTCCAAAAAGAATATCTATATCTTTAAAATCAATATAGGGCTGTCTATCATCATGCTCAGTATACCAAACATTAAAATCATCCAATAATCTCTGTACATAATAGCATTGAGTAAAAATTGGTTCCAATGTTTCTGTTTCTCTGTTACAGAGTGTACATAATTGATTTGTTGTTAATTTCATTTTTACTTACTCTTTATTAGTTGGTAGAATCCTATGATTGATTTTGTATTGGAAAGTCTGTAATTTTGTTTCCATTTTACGGTTAAATGCATTCATATAAATATCTTGCCAGTTGAAATCCTCATCCATCTCAAAAACTGATTTCCATTTTTCTTGGCTATGTTTGGGCATTATTATGACATTTGCAACAAACTATCTATAGATAATAATGTTTCATCAGCGTACAAATGTATATATGCAAACTACATTAATTGACACTAAGTGGTATGTCATTGACATACATGATGCACATCAGAAGACCAGGTTTCCTGGGGTATACTTACTGTAAGCTGTTTCTCGCTCAAACTTGGTTTTAATTTTACAACCAAAAATCTGAAAAGGCAAAAACAAAACTGAAGAGAAACTGGAAGCACATTAATGAGTTTACTTGTCAAACCGAAACAAGTCCAGATTTATTTTGAAAGCAGTACATTGTAACTTTAAGCCCTGAATTGCCTTCATTTGTCATTTATTGATAAAAGCCTTCCAGTTTGCATTCACATTGCCTATGAATATCATCTGAAAGTAATATGATCATAGGTTTCACTGTAGCCGGACCAGATCAATGCTTAAATGTATACTTGTGATCTTATACAAACAAGGTAAAAACTAAAAATAGAAAGTGTATTTTAAAATAAAAAAAAACATAAAAACTTTTTACTCCGGATACGACCGGTCACTGCGATGCCTATTCTTTTCCTTTTACCAGGGCGACACAATTCTGCTCAAGAGTCAAATAAACAATTACAGGCAAAGTCTCTGAACAATATATTTACGTTGGCCAGTGCTATACATAAAACTGACTTTTATTCAATGCGTAGAACTACAAACTGCAAAAAGTAATATCTGCTGAAGCAATGACATCAAATGCTATTATTTGTTATCAGAATGAACGAGAGAAATGGGAAGTTCCATCTGTTTGAAGCTTCTTTAGAAGTTTAATTTAAACGAATATATTTCTCATGAGCAAGACAGGGACATAGCGTAGAATTATTTGAATATTTTCCAACGAATAAATTAAACGTAAAAATAACAACGGACATCTATATTTTTATTGTAAAGATATATATTCAGTGGAGGGTGAATGTATTTTTTCGTTCGTATCGATTTGAGTAATTTGTTATGATTGATTAAATAAATTACCATAGAACAACCGATTTTAGCCTTCAAATCGAAACAGTACCCCAGGAAATTTTCAGTTCACATATTTTAATTATCATTTTATTAGTAAATGTGTGTGTCAAACCATTACTGCAATGAGAGGGGCAGATCAGCCCTTAGTGTTACCAATAATACTCAATATTTTCATTCATTGAGACGAAATAGCTCGGAAGTCGTAGTCGTTCGTAACTATGCAACATCAGAACATGTTGGCTGGCTTATCGAAATCTAGCGTAATCTGTGTATGTATATAACAGTTATTATAAATCAGTTGTTTCGCTTGACACGTTTTGTTTGTAATGTAGCGGAACTGGACTGGACCGATCGTCGGAAGCAGAAGACGCTTACCCTTCCGGAACACATGTTCTTATTATCATTGTACAATGAACTTCCCCAGGGGTCTACAAACAACACTTTCTTTGATTATATTCTGCCCTGATTCGATAGATTTCGAGTTCGAAAAACGGTCTTGTGCACACTGCGATAGTACGTATTCTTTCTTAAACAAGGACAATGGACAGGAGATGTACAATGGTAACTAGAGTACTTTTTTTCCAAAATATTATACAACATACAAACAAATTCCTTTTCTCTGATTTTCGCTGGCGCATATTGTGCCTCCGCCTTCCCTCCTTAAATAATATTAAACTATTAATATTAAAATTGGACTGTATCAAGTGTGACCCCATCACGATGTCTCCCGTCAAAACATGCAATGGGATTTTTTGAAACGTTTACAAAATGTAATACATGACGATTGTTGATGTTTCAATACTCCTGTTTATTTCTGAACGGTATTATGTCTTAAAATACGGTTCTTTTAAGGGGCTGGGAAATAAATGGGTCTAAATGCGTTCTCTGGCCTTCCAAAAGTTATACCACACGGCAATATGATGGTCGAGTTCTGCTTGCAGTGTCCAGTTTTGACAACTGAAATTTCGTGGAAGCCCCGCGTAAATTTAGCGCAGATCTATTTATATATGTCACGTGGTTGTTTCGAAGGTAAGGCAGTGAAGATAACAAGAATAGCACGCCGTCATGTACCATGTCTGACTCAACTAGCGGACAAGACAGCAATACTATACGTAAATAATTGTTTTCAAAGGTCATGTATGATGCAAGTGTAGTATTCCTACCTATATGTTGTTGTTATTTATAACGGTATTGATACCTCGTGCCTGTCATGACTTTTGCATGCATCTTTTTCTTTCGCCGCGATGTTTACATTTGACCTTGTTGATGACGTGAATTTCAGCAAAATTTGTATCGGTATATTTCATAAGAGGGTATTTTAAACATGTGTATGCCATTTTAGCAAATATGACATTTTTTCCCCGACCAGCCCCTTTAAAGACAAAATAGTTCACATGCAGCTTCAATCTGATTAAAATCATATGTTACATGGCTTCGTTTACTTCGTACTACGCCTGGACATCTGATTGTGCTGCGGTCAGGGTCACGTTCAGGTGACCTTTATATTTATAGATACTCATTAAATGTTGACCAATCAGAGACCCTCTTTCAAAAGGGCGCTCGGAGTTGTAACAAATATGGCGAACACTGATGAGAATGATGCGAAAGTTCTGAAGTTATTTGAGATTGATCGTCTGAAACCCGAACAGAAAAAGATATTCGAAGCTTTATTAGAGAAGAAAGACTGTATGGCGGTGTTGCCTACGTAATTATTACCCAATGGGTACGTTTTCCTTGGCGTCGTAGAAACGTCAGTTTCCGCCGCCATATTTGTTTTGGAAAACTAATCTGTTCGATACCCCTCGCTATTTATCTATCAACCATGATATTTCGATTCGCTGGCAAACTTTTGCCAGCACGCCTCTGAGAGTTGTAATAATACAATTGGAAACTATCAATTTCATTTTCATTGTACATACCGTACGTAGCTACATGTATGTATGTGTTTTCTTTCTACAGAATTACATTTCTGCAATCCGGATAAAGATAGCATACCGTTTCATCTTTTAGTTTGTAATTTTGTTTTCCGGTTTCGAGTTGTTTATCGTCGGCGAATGACCCGTGTGGCGGTGCATGCTTTCGGTTCGACATTTTGACCAGGGACTTCTACTTCACAGGTTTACAAGGTTTAAACTACACACGTTTGCATGCATGAAGCAATTATTTTAGTGATATTCAATGACAAGTGTTCCATTTGTTTTTATAAGGGAGTAAAGACAGGTCCTGCACAACGCAACTACTATTAATATTGAGCTTGTTAGACTTTCAGCCGTTGGTTACGTTATTTGATATAACGCATCCAACGGATGAAAGTCTCACAAGATCGATATTGATAGTAGTTGCGTGCCCCATGTGGTCCTGTTAATGAGTTATATCCACTGGCAGGTACTTGGTACATAAAAATAAATATAAAAACATATTTGGTGTGTATACATAGGATGCTTACTATGTTAATAACTTACAATATATATGCGAAATATTTTCTAAGGAGTAGACTAATAATGTTACATTTTCAGTGGCATAAACACTATATATGTAGTACTAATATTAAAACCCGCCTCCTCTGCCCCGCCGCCGGCCGCATAAAAAAGGTCCGGTAGTTAAAAGCTACGTTATCGCAGCTAATGATATTGGTGTACCGTCCAAGGCCTGTTACATTGTCCTTGGCATTATCAGCAGTTGATTTTGTATACTTAACGGAGGACCTCAGTGAGTCACTGCATACTTTATTATCTGTAGGATACGACAGATTGTGTCAATTCAGATACTAAAATGATATGGTTGCCGTTTAACTTCAAGCTAGACTTCCTGTTTAACTCAACCTGTGTAGCGGAAGCTGGGAGACTATTAGTACCTATATTTAAATACATGACCTACACACAATATATAAAAGGCTTGTTATCAAAAGCTACGTGATCACAGCGAGGGGACTATGACTGGATCCATAGTGGAAGCTCACTACTTTCTTCCTGTTAAAGATAGTAGTTTTGGCCCTCTCTGTGGTTGCTGCACGTTAGATACTGTTTTGGAGCCTGATCAAATATAAAAAGGAAGTCGCAGTATTGTACATTTTAAAAATGATTAAGTTTCTCAATTACATCCTGCTACAGGGAACTTACTTCCTTTTAGCACCATTGTAAGAACGGCCGACTGGATAGCTGGGAGGGTGAGGTGGGGGCTGATTTGTTTCCTGTTGGAAACACTACTTATTTTCTGTTTAGTTATTAAACATTTAATCGATTTACATAATCTCAAATGAGAAAAAAGTACGGATTCAGTATGTCATGGCGCATCGTCCGTCATCTGTCTATCCATCAACTTTTCCTTTAACACGATACTAGTCCTGAACGGCTAAGTGGTTTTTAACTCAATTTGGTTTGGAGCATCTTTGGGCCAAGGGCAGTATTTTTTTTATAAACGCGGTTGTGGTCCCCCTGGGGGCAGAGGGGTGGGGCCAATAGGAGAAATAGAGGTAAACATTTAAAATCATTTTTCTACCATAAAGATTAAGGAATTTCATCCAAATTTGGTCTGGACCATCATGAGGTCAAAGGGCACTCTAATTTGTATAAACGGTGGGTGCCGAGCTACTATTTTATTTGCAATTGACAACAAAAGTAATATCATACAATACAAACATTCATTTACATTATACACAATATACAATGTGTTACTGTCGTAATGCTGACATATAGACACATGTTACTGTCGTAATGCTAACATATAGACACATGTTACTGTCGTAATGCTGACATATAGACACATGTTACTGCCGTATAGCTGACATATAGACATGTGTTACTGTCGTAATGCTGACATATAGATACATGCTACTGTCGTAATGCTGACATATAGACAGTAACATATGTATATATGTCAGAATTACGGCAGTGACATGTGTCTATATGTCAGCATTACGACATTAACACATGTCTATATGTCAGCTATATGGCAGTAACATGTGTCTATATGTCAGTTATACGGCAGTAACACATGTCTATATGTTACTGCCGTATAGCTGACATATAGACACATGTCTATATGTCAGCATTACGTCAGTAACATATGTCTATATGTCAGCATTACGTTAGTAACATATGTCTATATGTCAGCATTACGACAGAAAAATATGTCTATATGTTAGCATTACGACAGCAACATGTGTCTATATGTTAGCATTACTACAGTAACATGTGTCTATATGTCAGCATTAGGACAGTAACATATGTCTATATGTCAGCATTACGTCAGTAACATATGTCTATATGTCAGCATTACGTTAGTAACATATGTCTATATGTCAGCATTACGTCAGTAACATATGTCTATATGTCAGCATTACGATAGTAACACATGTCTGTATGTTAGCTATACGACAGTAACATGTGTCTATATGTCCGCATTACGACAGTAACATGTGTCTAAATGTTAGCATTACGACAGTAACATGTGTCTAAATGTTAGCATTACGACAGTAACATGTGTCTAAATGTTAGCATTACGACAGTAACATGTGTCTATCTATTAGCATTACGACAGTAACACATGTCTATATGTCGGCATTACGACAGTAACATATGTCTATATATTAGCATTACGACAGTAACATGTGTCTAAATGTTAGCATTACGACAGTAACATATGTCTATATTTCAGCATTACGACAGTAACACATGTCTATCTGTCAGCATTACGACAGTAACATATGCCTATATGTTAGCATTACGACAGTAACACATGTCTGTATGTTAGCTATACGACAGTAACATGTGTCTATACGTCAGCTATACGGCAGTAACACATGTCTATTTGTTAGCATTACGACAGTAACATGTGTCTATGTCTGTATGTTAACTATACGACAGTAACATGTGTCTATATGTCCGCATTACGACAGTAACATGTGTCTAAATGTTAGCATTACGACAGTAACATATGTCTATATATTAGCATTACGACAGTAACATGTGTCTAAATGTTAGCATTACGACAGTAACATGTGTCTATACGTCAGCTATACGGCAGTAACACATGTCTATATGTTACTGCCGTATAGCTGACATATAGACATGTGTTAATGTCGTAATGCTGACATATAGACACGTGTTACTGTCGTAATGCTGACATATCGACATGTGTTACTGTCGTAATGCTGAAATATAGACATATGTTACTGTCGTAATGATAACATATAGACATATGTTACTGTCGTAATACTAACATATAGACATATGTTACTGTCGTACTGCTAACATATAGACATATGTTACTGTAGTAATGCTGACATATAGACACATGTTGCTGTCGTAATGCTGACATATAGACAAATGTTACTGTCGTAATGCTAACATATAGGCACTTGTTACTGTCGTAATGCTGACATATGGACATGTGTTACTGACGTAATGCTGACATATAGACACATGCTACTATCGTAATGCTGACATATAGACATATGGTACTGTCGTAATGCTGACATATAGATACATGCTACTGTCGTAATGCTGACATATAGATACATGCTACTGTCGTAATGCTGACATATAGATACATGCTACTGTCGTAATGCTGACATATAGACATTTGTTACTGTCGTAATGCTAACATATAGACAGGTGTTACTGTCGTAATGCTGACATATCGACATGTGTTACTGTCGTAATGCTGAGATATAGACATGTGTTACTGTCGTAATTCTGACATATAGACATGTGTTACTGTAGTAATGCTGACATATAGACACATGTTGCTGTCGTAATGCTGACATATAGACATGTTTTACTGTCGTAATGCTGACATATAGTCATGTGTTACTCTCGTAATGCTAACATATAGACACATGTTACAGTCGTAATGCTGACATATAGACATGCGTTACTGTCGTAATGCTGACATATAGACAGTAACATATGTATATATGTCAGAATTACGGCAGTGACATGTGTCTATATGTCAGCATTACTACAGTAACATATGTCTATATGTTAGTATTACGACAGTAACATATGTCTATATTTCAGCATTACGACAGTAACACATGTCTGTATGTTAGCTATACGACAGTAACATGTGTCTATACGTCAGCTATACGGCAGTAACACATGTCTATATGTTACTGCCGTATAGCTGACATATAGACACATGTTACTGTCGTAATGCTAACATATAGACATGTGTTACTGCCGTATAGCTGACATATAGACACATGTTACTGTCGTATAGTTAACATACAGACATATGTAACTGTCGTAATGCTAACATATAGACATGTGTTACTGTCGTAATGCTAAGGATTCCTCTCATGCACCTCTTATTATCATTATCTGATATACTATACCCGCAATATTATATATGATGCACTACAGTATCTATATATTACAAGCTGTATCCTACAGTCTTGGTAGCTTGCCAAACGGTGAACGAGTTACAAAGTCCCATGTTAAAAATCTCCTTCTATCCCATGAAACAGTACAGCACAATAAATACATGGTATGCACACCACAACGATATGTATAGATATTTCATGCGTAGCCTAGTTACCTGATGAACCCAGAAGCACAAGACAAAGCACTGGCAACTCTGACTAACAGTTTGCTTTTCGTACGGGTCACACAGGCAATACTTTATTAATTCTACCACAACACAATCTCATTTCAAATTTTTCCTTAGAGAATCCTCCTAACAAGACAACATAAAAACAAAAGCAAAATCCATACATTCTTTCTAAGGAAAAGGGAGGAAAGACTGAGTAACATCGTTTGATGTGTAGGTAATGTTTGCCAACTGATTTAAAGAAGGTGGTATTTACCAAAATGACCATGAACAATCCTATCGTTTCAGTGTCCCACACAGTTGATATTAAGTGTTGTTGGCAGTAATACAGAGCAGAGCAGACAATTCTAAAGGTGATTACACACAGAATTATAGCCTGACACATCTGCCCTTCTTGAAGTTGGTTACTAATTCATAATTGATCCACCTTTTTTTGTTTTGTTTAAAATAGGTAAGCTATTTCTAAAGGAAGAGTCTTCTACAGCAGTGAGCCAGGTACAACAGGTTTGAAAAACATGGCATCCAGCTGCGAGGAAGAATACTCGGCTCTTTACCGTAAGTGTCTGGAAATTAGACCAGATTGACCATACACTTATACTTGATGGTAATTAATGATGGATCAGCCTATATGAATAAATCATTTTAAGTAATCAAATGAGTTATCGATATTAGATATTTATCACATCTATTATAGGGTGACAGTGCCCTGGGTCAACCTGGGAATATCACTCACAACAAATGGAAGCATGAAAAACCTTTTAAAATGCATTTGTGACATCATTATGTACTTTATGCAATTTGCTAATTAGTCCATCAAGATGTCCCCACCTGTTCCTTATGTTTAATTACTTGGTTAGGAACTAAGTATCACAAAGTAAGTTAAAATGAGAAATTTTCACTTAAAATATAATGAATATAATCCTGATTGACAGTAGGTAAAATTTTATTATTTTACCTTTTTCGCCAGATCCTCAAATTCTGGTCAACTTCAGTAAAAGTATATCATAGACTATTAGTCATGTTTTAAAAACCTTGATACGAAAATATTCCAACTTCTTTTCATCTTCATTCAGTATAATATTTGTATGTAACATACATAAATCAGTCTAATTTCTGTAATAAAGACTCACCATCTTAACGTTAAGATTCCTTTAACTGACTGGTGTGTTATGTTAATAATTCTTTATAAAAAATACATCTGTAATGGTTTAACCAAGATAAATTATTCAAAATGTATATTAATTTCACTGAATATTACCTGTTGTTGGTTTTTAATGACAGTTGGTATTGTGGATGACGAAGATAATTACGTAAAGTTCAAGATAGATAGGAAAGATCTTGGTGATTTTAGAAAGCTGGATTTTAGCGTCACTTTTGATGAGGCACAAAGGTGAGTCTGTCCTCTGTCCTGTCTTTGACCTTTTTGTCTAGCATGTTTAATTTCCTGACTTTTTATCATACTTTACCTTCATTTACCTGAATGATAAAACTTTGCCTCATCAGATGGCAATGATGGTGGAATGTTGATGTAGTATTTCATCTTTGCTCTCTCATCCATTCTTAAGCATTTCTTATTGTCACTATTTCTCAAGGAAACACTGGACAAATATTTCTTTTTTTCTCTATGTAATGTAGATTCCCCTTTGTCTATGTTTTTATTTTGAGACTGATCTGAAGAACAAAATAGCTGCCAAGCGGCAATGATAGATTTTGACTGATGAAGATTGTTATCGCTATTTTTCTGGATCGAGCCATCTGACTCATAGGTTGAATATCAAACAATTACATCATGTAATACCTGTACAAGATATTTTGATACAAATTTAAATTGATGAAGTGGAGAGTGAGCTTACAAATTACACAAGTAGTTTTCCATGTCAGACATTGATTTCTCTACGTTTACTCATAGCGCAATATAAATACATTCCTATATTGCATAATTCTTTTACATTATTAGTACTCAATAATTTCGTTAACTTATAAACATTAGGACTTCTGTGATAGAATCGCTTGATATATTTACGTCTCAGGTCTTGATGTAATGGACATTTTAGGATGAAATTCATTTTCTATATCACCAGAAGCACAGCGAGAACAATGATGATATATTCTGTCGAACACCATTGTTCCGTCTACCTACTTCAATATTTAAATCATGAGACGACAATCTTAAACATGTAATAAGGCGTTTGTACTTAGATTCTATAGATTTACATAAGTAAAATTGAAGACAAACATTATCAAAAAGGTGCTGGTATAAATAACCTTTAGGTGACCTTGCTAAATTTGGTATCATCTTCTGTTTACAATTATCTAAAATTCTTTGTTCTATATTCTTAAAAGCAATGTTCTTGTCAGGTCTGTCTCAAACTCAATTTTGTATTGATACACAGTGAGAATTGCTTCAACAATTTATTAAATGTAGGTCACTGTGACCAATATTTACACTTCAGTAACTTTGGATTTAGCATCATTTCTTGGTGTGACTTAGAATTTACTCTATTTCCATCAAATGAGGTGGTGCATATATGTTTTTAAAATATTTTCAAGTTAGAATAAACTTTGTTTTGAATTGAAATAAAACAGACCCGGAGGTTTACTTACAGAAATGATAACAATGATCCCAGATTTCTGTTAAAACAGCACAGATTTAAGAGTATCACAGACAGGGCATATATTTAACAAGATAAATGACTGTGTAGCATACACAATGAAAAAAATGTTTTAAAAAAATCTTAAGTTTCTTACATTAACTTCACTCTTTGGACAATAAAACTGTAAAAGCATACATGAGACAGAACGTTTTTGTGAGCTTCCTGGAGATCACCATCAGGACTGAACTCGTTTAATATTTTTCTTTAATTATTACTTGTGTGTTTTGGTATATATTTTTATCATGAGTTTCGTAGATATTGTTTGTGTCCTCTTTTATCTTATTTCATTTCCTTTTCTCATTTGTTTTACAGACAGCTGTGGGTTCGGACCAGGAAGGACAATGTCTTGTATCAATGTAATTACCTCATTAAGGGATTAATTAAAACTTCAAACCTTGAAGGGGGACTAAAGGCGAGTCGCTAATCTTTTTATCTCATTCCTGTTTTTGGGAGTAATAGATTCCAATAGTATTCCAATAGATTCTTAATCTCCAAACTTGGGTTCTCACAGTGATACTATACTTTCTTGAGCTCCATCGGGGATACTTAATATGACCAAATTAGTTCTTCTTGTATGGCGAAACAGCAAGTGGAAATATATTTTGATAAGGAGTTTCAGGGTCATGCAGTAGTTTCTTAATTCGTCAGTGAACGCAACTCTAGTTTTACTTTCTACATACACATGTTTGATATTCATATTTCATTTCCAAAATTTGAGATATAGGTTTTTCCCTGTTCAACATGATAACATCATTCAGATGCAATGGTTTTCTTTGGTTTACAGAAGAAGAAGGATTATGCATCCCTGCGGATAGAAAAGGATTTGAAAAATGGAAAATTTAATCTTAATGACAAATAAAACACATCATCATCAATGCTCTTTAGAATGGTTGAGTACAGCTTTTGTTGTAATCAAGATTTCAGAGAAGATCAAAGACAGCTTTTTAAGAGACAATCCTGGAATATTCTAACACAGCATTTAGTTTATAGTTCACATTTATAAAACTGTACATTATACATAATAACGATGTGATCTCTTGTTGCTAGACATTAACACTGGATAACCTCCACTTGTTGGATAACATATATTAACATAATTATAGACATCAACATAGATTACCTTGGCTCGTTTAAGAATACCTTTTAGGTATAATACTGGAATATCTCCCCTTGTTGGAGATGACCATAATATAACCTACATGGAGATGACCATAATATAACCTACAATGTACATGTATTTTAATTGAAGGAAATCTCTTGTAAAAAAGTTGATAACGAGACTTTTAAAAACATCGTACTGTGTATTGAATTCATTTCACTGTCTTAACTGGGTAACAACAGACAATAAACTGAATTGTTTTGTGATGTCTAATAATGTTTAATAAATAAAGGACGAAAAAAGGCGACGAAGACTCCCTTTATAGTTTCCATCTTGTAGAGAAATTTATTTCACACACCTCCAGAGAGGGTGAAAAACTACAAAGAAAAACGAATAAAACACTCATAAGATTACTGGAAATTAACTAGGTCAAACAATGGTAATTATCTCAAACCGACAAAAATGTTGGAGCTAAACAATAGCCACTTTATCTTTTAGTTTAGGCTTCTTTTATATGAACATTGTGCCATCAAAATTACATACAGAATAAATTTACTATTGCTCCATACCACTTGATAATAAATTAGAAAATACCCTGTGCTAACCAGATCCTTCAAGACACAACACGTCACATACCAGACACAATTATGGTTAGTTGCACGATATTCTCATTACTATTATTCATATTAATACAGTTGGTAACTATAATGAAGTACAAAATAATAAAATATACTATTTGACTAGGTTATTGTGTCGAGCAAACAAGCAGACGACACCGATTGAAATATGGCGGGACCCACCCAAGCCCAACAAAACCATCGGATTTACCAAACGTACAGAATGAGCATATGCATATTACATAAAAACCAGCATCAAAGATACATTATGCAATAAATCATACAGTTATTATAAACACTTACTCCTTAGGGAGGCCCGCATTTAGCCAAACCAAAAGCAGCGTGACTGTGACGCTTCCACATGGTAGACATAGGAACTTGGAAAACAAAACTAATATGTGGAATAGAGGCGGGTACTAATTTCCGGACAATAAATTCCGAACTTATAGTCCGGACTATAAATTCTGGACCAAGACCGTCACAGTTTGTTATAACCCAATGTTATGTGATGCAATGCTAGTCTTTACATCATGATTACCAGAGGAAGAGAGCAGGTACAAATTATACTGCAAAAGTCACAAGGACTAATTTCATCATAGACATTAACACCGGCTTCTCTCTCCCCTTGTTAGAGATTACTATATAGGCAGTAACACTGGATTGTTGGAGATGAAGGAAATCTCTGGTATAAAAAATGTTGATAATGAGACTTTAACAAAAATCTGTTTATTTGATTCATTTCATTCGAAGGAATGAGCATGCACACATTATGCTGCAAAAGACACAATTAGTGCTAAAAGTATTAAGTAAACCTGAATTAAAGTTGTATTTACCTTGAAATAAAATGTTTTTTTTAGTTTTTATAAATGAATTTGTATCTACATTCCTTTATACTGGTATGTGATGTCTTGCCTACAATGAGTTATGGCCATGAAACAGTGCTAGAAATTTAGATCGAATTGTTTTGAAATAATGACTTCTTTTGGACATATTTGATGTTGAAAGTTGACAGTGCATTATTAAAAGATCAAGTGTTTTGGTTTAAGTGCTTACTTAGATGATGACAAAAGTGCTTTACTCTAACTTAATTTCCAAAATGTTATTTGACCATTCTTCTTCCATGTATAGTTTATCTTTTGAATTTGGCAAAAAATTCAAGACCTTTTCTAGCTACGATGGTTGAAAAAACATTTGAAAATATAATACTTTTGGGGATTAATTGGTCTTCTCGTAAACGAATATTCCTTGTATTTAAGACAGATACATAGTTTTGCGTCTGATAGTAGTATGTAAGACTGCTGACGAGCTACGTATACGATATTGCATTAAGATGAAACAATGAAATTGTTCCAGAAACAGAACTAAAATATTATTGTCGCAGAATTCAATACCTATGCCTGTATAATTGGAGGGCGTCATGTAGTGTTCGTGGCTCAACTTCTCGATAAAATTTACATTCGCTGTCTCATTCGGAACACCTTGCCCCGATTACAGTTCCTTCCAATGTAGATGACCGAATCGGCCGAGAAGTTCCGAGTGTCGCTGTCTTTGCTTGTAAATCAAGATTGATATCGCGCAGACGGTGACAATCCCCACCACCAGACGTTGTCATGACGTCGTGTGATATACTGTACAGTAAATCGTATTTTGAAGAGATATTTGTACCCTTGCAGTACCTCTGGATTTCCTTTAGCACTTAGTATTGCACCTGTGTTACACTGTAGTTCTACCAACGCGTGAAGCATTGATACTTAAAAGCCTGGTCGAAACCAGTGATTGCAATTAAGTTATCTTTTTCCCGTCTATTTTTTCTCTCTCTGATGCACACTTGTGTGTTCAAAACTCCAAAAACGGACATATTTTGCACTGTGATGTCTACATATGTACATGAACATGTAACCATTATATCCTTTTTGTATAATTGTGTCATTAAGTGTAAAGTGTATGATAGCCAGAACCCTTTGTAATCCGGAAATCCATATTAATCCAAACAAATCTCATATAAGGTCATATTGTCTACAGTTGACTGTTTTATGTAAAGTCAATGTTCAGGACCCTCGTTATCAAAAAGCCTATTCTAGCCAGAGCCATTGTTTGAACGAGTTTTAATGAAATCGCTCCATATCTATCTATTAATTTTGTTACATTATGTATTCATTATTATTGAGGGGGAACTAACAATGCCCAGCATGACGTTCAAGGTACTGGTATAAACCAGCGACATAGATAAACCAGCGACATAGATAAACCTGTGATTGGACCCACTTGACTATCGGCTGCTGTGACGGAATGTTTACCTGATCAATGTTGACTTTGTTGAGTAGCGTCCTCGAGTGTCACGAATCACTATTCAGTAATAACAAAGTTGTTTAAACACCAGTAAATGTATTACGTGAACTATTGATGTATACCTTATACATTATAAACATGTAGACCAACACATGATTATCACAAACACACGCCTTGTGGCCATTCAAAACTGACAGGGTTTAAGTTTTAACACTTTAAAATCTCGTTTATATATTTAACACATATATAGATACGAGATACGGAACCCCCTTATCGGCAGAGGACGTCATTACTTCGCCAAAGACTGACCGGAATTTGGCGGTTTTCCGAACTATTTTAACAAGCGGACTGATTCAAACCGCCTGCAATTGCTTTCAAATACATACATTTCCGAAATCAGCATCCATATTATCAAAACGACATAAAATATACTAAACCCAGTGCACATACACTATCCTATACAAGACTACACTATGTACCAAATGTTCCCATTTTAAAAGCGGTATGTGTTACATTATATTTACCATCATATACATGTGGTACTGGCACTTTATAACCCTACCACATCAAGACGGCGTTCATTGAGGCGTGAATGTCAGGAGCTGATTGAGATGATCCTTATATTATGACGTCATATTTGGTACGTTGGATAGCATTGACTCTTTATGGATAAATGGCTATTCTATTCATGGAACAAGCATACACAATATTAGTATAGCGAGCTTCATTTGAATTTGCTTAAATGACAGAAAAAGTTTTGGAATACAATTTGTGCCTGACTTCGATTGCAATGTTATAACATATCAAATACTGCTACACGTTACCAAGTATACGGAACTAAACAAATTTTTACAAAGAAAACGCCAAAATGTATTATCCAATGATATTTCTGTGTGATCTAACACATATAAGTGCCAATACTATATGGCAGGTATCATATGTTGATATTAAACTTGTTTTGTCAATATTAGACGCCGGATGTTAAATATTGTGTACAAATTAAAATAATTGTATTATATTCATTTTAATGCTTATGCTACCTTTACTTTGAAAATTAAAACTGTAAGTCATGTAATTGTCGACAGACAAAAAAGACATTGATGAGATAACAAAATGTAAACAGTATTAAAAATCAAATTTTAACGTTTATATTAAGTGAAATAAAGACCAGCCTTGTCGCGAACAGAGCGCTGGAATATTGTAAGGAGAGTGTAGCGGGTCTATATCGGGGCGTGTAGATTTACTGGAGAATTAATTACCCCGGGATTAAAGTGAGGTGCTTCGTGGTATTGATTAGGTGTGTTGTGTGGCCGAGACGTGGTAATATGTTAGTAAAATATGACCCAGTCTAGATATACCTACCCCTAATTACACGGGTAGTCGGCATTTAAACCGCTATATATACTCAGGCGATCATGTGTAGTATACAGGTATATAATCTCTTGTTGGCATTTGTTCGATACAGCGTCCTCGTACGGACAGACTGGAGAAGTAGTCAGTTAGGCCTTGTGTATAAAACATATACAGTATAAACAACAATAATGGAGACAATTGGAGTAAAACGCCGAACATAGGATTTTAATTTTACGGATTCTGACGGTATTTGGTAGTTAGTGACGCACATCAGGGGACACTTTACATTACAGACAGGATCAAGGAGTAAGATGGCGGAACGGACCATTCCTAATTAGTAATCCTGTCACAGGTGTGAAATACAGGTATGTATATCAAAAGAAGGCGACAACTTTCCTTGAATCTCCACTGTATCGTTCATGTAAAATACCAATCTAGTTTAAAATGCGTTAAATATCAAAGATAATGTCTTCACTATAAACAGGTAAGAGCGTAACACCACTTACAATGTATATACTACGGTAATCACACAGACTATACATACCGTTTACAGAAACCTTCCGATATTATAACAATTCCAGAAACTTAAAATGTTTTGTACCTGTACATTGACCTGTACTTAAGGAGTTAAATACAATCAATAGATTGTTTAACTAATATACTGCATAATCAATAGATTACATACAGAATACATCAGGATCATTTTTCCGTCCGAAAAACTAATCCCGCAAGGAATCTCTCCGAACAAATAGTTCTTCCAACTCAAGGTCTATCCGGACAACTAGTCCCTCCGACACTAATTATATCAGGACAACAAGTCCCTCCGACAACAACTCCATCCGGACAACAAGTCCCTCTGACACTGATTCTATCCGGACAACTAGTCCCTCCGACACTAATTTTATCCGGACAAGTCCCTCTGACACTAATTCTTTCCGGACAACTCGTCCCTTCGTTACTAATTATATCCGGACAACTAGTCCCCCCGACACAAATTCTATTCGGACAACTAGTCATTCCGACACCAATTCTATACCGACAACTAGTCTCTCCGACACTTATTCTTTTCGGACAACTAGTCTCTCCGACCCTAATTCTATCCGGCAAACTAGTCCCTCCGACAATAACTCTATCTGGACAACTAGTCCCTCCGACAATAATTCTATATGGACAAATAAACCCTCCGACACTTAGTCTATCTTGTCAAATATTCACTCCGACACTAATTCTATCCGGACAGCTTGTCCCTCCGACAATAATTCTATCCGGACAACTAGTCCCTCCGACAATAAATCTATCCGTACACCTAGTCCCTCCGACACAAATTCTATCCGGACAACTAGTCCCTCTGACACTTATTCTATACGGACCCTAGTCTCTCCGACCCTAATTCTATCCGGACAACTATAGTCCCTCCGACAATAATTCTTTCCGGACAACTGCTCCCTTCGACACTAATTCTATACGGACAACTAGTCCCTCCGACACTTATTATATCAGGACAACTAGTCCCTCCAACACTAATTCTATATTGACAAATATACCCTCCGACACTTAGTCTATCTTGTCAAATATTTACTCCGACACTAATTCTATCCGGACAGCTTGTCCCTCCGACAATAAATCTATCCGTACACCTAGTCCCTCCGACACTAATTCTATCCGGACAACTAGTCTCTCCGACACTTATTCTATACGGAAAACTAGTCTCTCCGACACTAATTCTATTCGGACAACTAGTCCCTCCGACACCAATACTAGACCGACAACAAGTCTCTCCGACACTTATTCTATCCGGACAACTAGTCCCTTCGACACTGATTCTATCCGGATAACTAGTCCTTCAGACACTTATTATATCCGGACAATTAGTCCCTCCGACACTTATTATATCAGGACAACTAGTACCTCCGACACTAATTCTATATGGACAAATAGTCCCTCCGACACCAATTATATCCGGACAGCTAGTCCCTCCGACACTAATTCTTTCCGGCCATTACCTCCGACACTAATTCTATATGGACAAATAGTCCCTCCGACACCAATTATATCCGGACAGCTAGTCCCTCCGACACTAATTCTTTCCGGACAACTAGTCCCTCCGACACTAATTCTATATGGACAAATAGTCCCTCCGACACCAATTATATCCGGACAGCTAGTCCCTCCGACACTAATTCTTTCCGGACAACTAGTCCCTCCGACACTAATTATATTCCTTCCGACACCAATTATATCCGGACAACTAGTCCCTCCGACACTAATTCTATTCGGACAACTAGTCCCTCCGACACCAATACTAGACCGACGACAAGTCTCTCCGACACTTATTCTATCCGGACAACTAGTCCCTTCGACACTGATTCTATCCGGATAACTAGTCCTTCAGACACTAATTATATCCGGACAATTAATCCCTCCGACACTTATTATATCAGGACAACTAGTACCTCCGACACTAATTCTATATGGACAAATAGTCCCTCCGACACCAATTATATCCGGACAACTAGTCCTTCCGACACCAATTATATCCGGACAACTAGTCCCTCCGACACCAATTATATCCGGACAGCTAGTCCCTCCGACACTAATTCTTTCCGGACAACTAGTCCCTCCGACACTAATTCTATCCGGACAACTAGTCCTTCCGACACCAATTCTATACCGACAACTAGTCTCTCCGACACTAATTCTATACCGACAACTAGTCTCTCCGACACTAATTCTATCCGGACAACTAGTCTCTCCGACACTTATTCTATCCGGACAACTAGTCCCTCCGACACTTATTCTATACGGACAACTACTCCCTCAGCCACTTATTCTATCCGGACAACTAGTCCCTCCGACACTAATTCTATCCGGATAACTAGTCCCTCTGACACTTATTATATCAGAACAACTAGTCCCTCCGACGCTAAGTCTATCTTGTCAAATATTCCCTCCGACACTAATTCTATCCGGACAACTAGTCTCTCCGACACTAATTCTATCCGGACAACTAGTCCCTCCGACACTAATTCTATCCGGACAGCTAGTCCCTCCGACACTTATTCTATACGGACAACTAGTCCCTCCGACACTAATTCTATCCGGACAACTAGTCCCTCCGACACTAATTCTCTCCGGACAACTAATCCTTCCGACACCAATTCTATACCGACAACTAGTCTCTCCGACACTAATTATATACGGACAACTAGTCTCTCCGACACTAATTCTATCCGGACAACTAGTCTCTCCGACACTAATTATATCCGGACAACTAGTCCCTCCGACACTTATTCTATACGGACAACTAGTCCCTCAGACACTTATTCTATACGGACACCTAGTCCTTTCGACACTTATTCTATACGGACAACTAGTCCCTCCGACATTAATTCTATCCGGACAACTAGTCCATCCGACACCATTTTTATACCGACAACTAGTCTCTCCGACACTAATTCTATCCGCACAACTAGTCTCTCCGACACTAATTATATCCGGACAACTAGTCCCTCCGACACTAATTCTTTCCGGACAACTAGTCCCTTCGACACTAATTCTATACGGACAACTAGTCCCTTAGCTACTTATTCTATCCGGACAAGTAGTCCCTCCGACACTAATTCTTTCCGGCCATCTAGTCCTTTCGACACTAATTCTATGCGGACAACTAGTCTCTCCGACACTTATTCTATCCGGACAATTAGTCCCTCCGACACTAATTCTATATGGACAAATATTCCCTCCGACACCAATTCTATCCGGACAACTAGTCCCTCCAACAATAATTCTGTCCGGACAACTAGTCCCTCCGACACGTATTCTATCCGGACAACTAGTCCCTCCGACACTTATTCTATACGGAAAACTAGTCCCTCCGACACTAATTATATCCGGACAACTAGTCCCTCCGACACTAATTTTATCCGGACAACTAGTCCCTCCGACACTAATTCTATCCGGACAACTAGTCCCTCCGACACTAATTCTATACGGACAACTAGTCTCTCGGACACTAATTCTATCCGGACAACTAGTCCCTCCAACAATATTTCTAACCGGACAACTAGTCTTTCCGACACGTATTCTATCCGGACAACTAGTCCCTCCGACACTTATTCTATACGGACAACTAGTCCCTCCGACACTAATTATATCCGGGCAACTAGTCCCTCCGACACTAATTCTATCCGGACAACTAGTCCCTCCGACCCAAAGTCTATACGGATAACTAGTCTCTCCGACACTAATTCTATCCGGACATCTAGTCCCTCCGACACTTATTCTACCCGGACAACTAGTCCCTCCGACACTAACTTTATGCATGCAGTTAAACATATGTTCTTGTGACGTTTAACATTTATGGATCAGACTCCATTATTTAAGCTAATCGTGTTTTCCTTTGACACAGGTACAACATAATGAATCACGTGAATCAATAAATGGACCTTTTCCGAATTCCGTGATATTTTATGAAGGTTCGCACTATTTTATTAAACTGCGTTTGTATTTAAGGGTTATTGATCCCGTTATTATCTATGGAGTTACAACCTGTGTACAAAATATAGTCCTTTGTGTACATTGAGAATTACGAGGTGCATTTGTGTATAGCGGGTAAGCATAAAACACTTTATTATAGAAATAGACTAAACACAACTACAGTCTACACCTGTATAACAGTAAAAGGTGCTGTCTATTACACAACACAGTCACATTTCAAAAAGAACCACAAACTGCTAATTCTTTGACACACTTGTTTCGTCTGAGAAAGAGTGGACTACGTTCATATTTCTTTATTCGGAGCATTTTTCTGTCGGATAACCACTTTAAAAAAATCCACTGTAACTAAAAGAATGCTTTAAGGTAGGTACTCGGGCGTCAAAGGTACGCAAATATCTGTCTTCTTGTAATTTTAAACAGAACCTTTATTTCTGCTCTTCAAGCATTGCAATCGTGTCCAGCTAGCTAGTCCATGTATTCTGATTTCCTACAAACGCCATAGAAACCCCCTAGTCTGCAGAGGGTTCCTCGCTAGTCGCCGGACATGATACTGGTACAAGCAGTGGGATACTATGGAACGCCATAGCTGTCAAATAATATAATAATGGAAGCTTACAATACAATGGAAACCAAATCATATAATGATAAATAAAATCATTTATTACATACTTACTAATAAATACGGGCTTTTTGTATATGCGATACGACACAATTGCTCTACCCCATATATCAGCCCTCGCCGTATCACACCCCGAAACCCGTATCAGCCCCCGCCGTAGCACACCCCAAAAACCCGTATCAGACCTCTCCGTATCAATCAGCAAAACCCGTCTCACACCCCTTTTGTAAATTTTTCGTTTTTCAATATTTCAAAAGAAAAAGAAAAATTGATCATAAGATAGTAGCTTTTATTAGTAAGTATGTAATAAACAGGCCTTTTTTCCATATCACACCCAGTATCAACCCTCGACCAATATCGGGTTGATACTGGGTGTGATATGGAAAAAGGCATGTATTATTCTCTATATATTGATGATATCAAATAATGTATTGATGAAATCATATAATGATAAAATCAAATCATATATTGGTGAAACCAAATCATATAATGATGATATCAAATAATATAATGATAAAATCGAATAATGTAATGATGACATCATATATGATAATGATAAAATCAAATCACATAATGATGAAATCAAATAATATCATGATGACATCAATTAATATAATGATAAAATCGAATAATATAATGATAAAATCAAATCATATATTGATGCAATCATACAACATAATGAAAATATCAATTCTTATAGTATTGTTATGCCATATGTGACAGCTATTGCGTTCCATAGGATACAGTAGCCATGTTCTTTCTTCGAACCTGGAAGTTGGCGTGTGTGGGGATGTATTAGTCTCGTCTAACAAAAACATGCAATGGGGTGCAATGTGCTTATCCCCCCC